ACTCACCAGGAAAAAACTAGGTCTTTATTCCTAATTAGAGGCCCAGTGCACCAAATTCATGCACTAGTAGGGTCTCTGGCTGCCGGCCGGAGCCTCCTTCCCTTCCCCCAGCCAGCCCCGCCCCCTGGTCAAACTCCCAGATGAACTCCCAGTTGAGGGGGCAATTTGCATACTACACTTTTATTATATAGGATCATAAATCACTAACTGGGCAAGTCATGGTGGGTAGTAATGCCCCAGGCATATAACTTCTTTAGTTTTTAAGCCAGCCCAGTCCATTGATCTTGCGCATCTAGGTTAATACACCTTTGAGATGCCAGAAGAGACCCCTGGAAGGTGTAACCACCCTCAAGACAGCACATAATCTTGTTAACTACCCTGTAATCTAACTAGGCCTTGCTTTCTCCCACCTTCCTGTCATCTTTCTTGTATTTCCTTCTTAATTCCAAATGCATAAACGAAACTGCAAAGTAACACTCTGGAGCATTGGACATCTTGCTTCCTGGCAACTGCCATCAGTTTTGGCTCAACTAAACGCTTATAAAAATTCTCTGCAGGTTTGGATGTTTCTTCTGTTGACAGTCTTTAGTAACATACTTTTCTTTCCTCCCAATACAATTTTAAAGATTTACTTCTTTTACATATAACACTATCTGTGGTGAGAAAAGTAATAAGCCATATGGCTTTAACAACATAAAAACAGAGTGTTCCTAACCCACCTACCCGTCTGGTACATCTCCAAGGACTCCGTTTCCTGCATCCTATGCATAGCTCAGTTTCAAATTCCGTATGCACTGTGGGATAACCCTGGGGACTTTACAAAAACACTAAGCCCCTCTACAAAGCATCCCAATTCATCTGATCTGGAGTAGAGCCCAGCATAGCTATAGTTGAAGAAAAATTCCCCCAGGCAATTCTAATGTGCAGCCAAGGTTCAGAAATACCCCCGAGTCCAGCCACATGGAGAGTCTTCTCTGAGCCAGGTTCTAATGCATTGATCCCTCTCTCCATCCCTGATGCCCTCCCCTCCCCCACCCAGCAACGCCTCATCATATGTTCTGATCCTTTAAGTCTCATTTCAAATAATGCCACTTCTTCCGTGAAACTTTCTGAGAGCCCAGCCAAAGCAACTCCCTCCTTCCTGGAAGCCCTACAGGTCTCTCCGAGGATAGGTGGTAACGCAGACATCTCTGGAAGCAGATGGAAAGCCAGGATGACGTACTCGAGCTGGATGGATACCCACCTGAAGTGGGCAGCACCCACTTTATTAAGGGGCAGGGAGATGGGATAGTGCTCAGAAAGACTGACAAGTTGCTCCTTAAGTCAGAGGCCGGTGCTGCACACAAGCCCAGTAGTTCCCGTAGTCGAAGGGAAATGTAAGTGGCTACAAGCCTGTGGAAGTTGAAGCCCTGAATGTCACTATTGTTCTAGTGACACTGTAACGCGTTCTCCCTCCAATAACCCCACCTGGAAACACTGTGTACAACCTTCCACTGCAGACAAGGACACTGAGTGCTCTTCATGTACTGCC